CCTGCAAAAATCATTTGAGTGCTGGTAGGATTTAAGACCTGCCTCATTCTCCCACTCCACATGCTAACTGAACTGATCTTTTGGTGCCATGGAGTCGCAGACTATTAATTCTGTCTTTACTTCATCTTAAATTACAGTGGTGGTGTCTTTTCCCTCTGCATGTCCCACTCAGTCAAATGACAGAACAGGACAGCGTCAGAAGGCTACTTTTCAGTAGCCTTGCTTGATTTGTGCTGTTGTAAGGTAACCAGTAAAGAAGTGAATAACACAGTGGTACTAGAAAATGTACCAAAATTCTCTAAAACGTACTTAACCAATATTCATACAAATATAACAGGATAAATCATGAGTGATAATGGAGAAGAAACCGCTCAGTGCCATTAAAGTGAGATTATTGACATACTGTATGTACAATGGACATGGTGTCTCCACTTCCCTCCACTGTGCAAAAATGGAGCCAAACGAATGTGAATATGGCGGCCGTCATCTTGTTTTTTGCAACCAGATTCTGCACAGTAGCAACCAGAAGTGGAGTAACACCATCAGGCCGCCTGTCAAAGCAGTCAAATCAACTGAAATGCACCTTTTTATATCATCAAATAACTTATTAAAAACAAATACATCCGAAAAATGACCACCTAAATACAAATTAGTGTGATATTATTTACCAAAAACCACAGAACTGACCTCTGGGAGTTTTTAATTTGGCTCATGTCCCATCTGCTAACATGGAGGAGGCAGGATTTATGATCTATACTCCAACCAGTGACGGCTGTGCATTTGGTATGTGGGCCTTCAGTGGGGACTTACCCAACTTAATTCACCTCTTAATACCGCCACTGTACACCACAATTATAGAAATCATCAATACTATACAAAAACACAATATAACAAAGCGTGGCATTACAGAGAGAGAGGTATTGAGGGTGAGTACCATTTTTACTAAAGCAAGAAACCCAGTTAAGACAACTCCAAACCTCTACACTACAACCGCAACTGTGCCACGTACACCATCTAGAGCAGTTCAGAATCAATATTCATCTAATAACATGACAAAAACATACAAAATTTAAATAAAATACATCATACTCACCAGAGATGCTATTTATTTATTTATAGACAAAATCCATCGTCCTTTCTTTGCGCAGGAAGACTTCAATGACTCTGTCATAGAAGTGATCTCTGCGTTTCAGTTCCACCAGTAAGTCCTTTTCTAGTTTTGCTCTGACCAACCAATCAATCTGAGGACGGAAAAATGCTGACATCATTGTGGGCCAGCTAGCTGGCCCTGTGAGGCGTATTTTAAATCTGATTGGTTAAAGAAACAGTCCCATTGCTAACATAGTTTAAGTTACATCAGCCAGCACTTCTGATTCTGAAGGCCCTGGGCAGATTAGATTGACATGGCAACACATAGAGGCTGAAATCTGATTGGACAAAAAAAATATAACGTCCACATACACGTACTGGAAGCGGTGCAGCCAAGAGAAATACTACGAAATGAAGAGAATAGACTGTTGGGAATAAATTTGTACAATTTCATGGAACAAATATTAGAATTTAGGTTGTAAATGTAGGTCAGTGCTTCTAATAGTGTTTAGGCCAGCAGAGAAGGCCTTGCTGGCCCTGACGGCCCACCACTGACTGCAACCAGCTACCAGGGGGCGATCAACTTGGCTTCACTTCTGGGAACTGTCAGCCTGTCCATCGTTTTTACAGTGGATGAGTGAGACAAATCCATTTCTACCAACATGCATCCAATGTGACATTTTAAAATAGATACATCCAGTTATTATACATTTTATAATAACAGCTCACACAACCAGTTGGCAATAAATGTGCTAACAGCTTGCTAGTGGTAGCTTTAGCTTGACTACCACCCTGATGAGACCCTCGCCTTGCAGGTCGTATCAGTTCCTCAAGAGTCACCTAGTTGGTTACAGGAGACCATCCACAGGCATTTCAGCAGTGCAGAAACCTGAAACGCTGTCAACCCAGCTGCTCACAGCCAAGTGCTCTTTATTCATTGTCTTCCTGATCAGCAGCATATGTACTGTGTTTGCACATTGCACAGTGTATAAACAATGTAGAGTCAGGTTTGCTTGGCACTTCCAGGAGGCCCAGGTTTTTGCCTGGTAGCAGTAAATAGCTGCCCAGGAAAGCATCTGAAGCAGATGGCATACAAAGACGTTTGTGACTAAGCTGTGCTCAAATTGAATGATCGCCACTAAAATTTGTTGTTTGAGAAAGTCACTGAGATCATTATTATTATTATTACAAATGATTGACCTTGTTACTGACATGATTACTGTGTTTGCGCGTTTGTACTTGTATAACTGATATTTCAACAATAAAAAAAAAGTCTAAAGAAATATCTTAACCTGTTCTTGCAGCAAAAAGAAATGTTAGTGATGAGCTGAACCACATCATTTCAAACCTTATATCTGTTTGTCAAAGAAGGAAGCCTAAGGTGATCTGCACAAGTTGGTCTTAGAGACCTCCAGACTATAGAAGTGAACACATTCACCACTAGTGGAAGTAGTACTCAGATTGTTTACTTAAGTAGAAGCAGCAAAACCACAGCATAAAAATACTCTGCTACAAGTAAAAGTCCTGCACCCAAAATGTTATTTAAGTAAAGGTATAACAGTACTGGCATCAAAATATACTTGCAGTACCAAAAGTAAAAGTACTTATTATGCAGAATGGCACAGTTCACATTAATGTATATTACTGGATTATATTTACTGATGCATTATTATGAACATCACATTTAAGGTTGCAGCTGGTAAAGGCAGAGCTAATTTTAACTACCTTATATGTTTATATTTCAAGTACTTTACATACTGCTGGGTAGCTTGTGAATTTTCCGCCAGGGATCAGTAAAGTTTTATGATCATACTGTATTTTGTTTGATTAATCTCAATCTGAAAAGTAACTAGTAACTAAAGTTATCAAATAATTGTAGGTGGTACAAAGTACAATATTTTTTTTCTGAAATGTAGCGAAGTTGAAAGAAGTAGTAGCTGAAAATACTCAAACTACAGATACCTCAAAACTGTACGCAAGTACAGTACTTGAATAAATGTACTTAGTTACTTTCCCCCTCTAGCAGTCTCTCATCATGTATGGTTGAAAGGATTTTTGTTTTCCTCTTCACCTGTGGTGTCTCACCTTTATAACTAAGCTGAGAGTGTGTCCTTGGGATGATTGTTCACTTTACATTGTACTGCATGACCCTTTCATGTCTCATTTCATGATATCAATAACATTTTAGCTCTGAGTCATCTCGGGCTGTTTCCTTTGGAGTGATTACTTATCTCTAGATGGAAATGAGACTCTCTAATCAGGCGTTCCCTGGCAGAGGTCCAAAAATGGACGTTTTCTTTCCTTTACTGTCTCCGTTTTTGTCTTTGTTCTTCTGTCACTCTTTGTTCCTGACACAAACGCGTGTGATCCAGCTAGAGCATCAGAGGCTGTCTGGAGTCTCAACATCCTGCAGGGCAAACGAGGTCAAACAAAACACAGTCCAACACGAAACATTTGAACCAGTTTTAGGGCTGTTTATGGCTGTAAGTTCATACCTGTTACCGTCCCCTATTATCCTTTCTATTTACAGTTAGTGTGACTGAGGCCTGATTACACAACACTGCACTTTTAACTTAAGTGTTTGGAGCAAAACGTTCTACAAAAAAATGCAGATGGAACAAAATGTACGATGGACACATACAGCATGTAGCTGAAACCTTTATTTTCATTTATAAAATAAACCACCTGACCCTGCTGGAGATTTTTCTTTAGAATTTCACAATAAACTTCTGAGAAACTGCTTGAAGCTTCCTGTTCCCTACTGAGAAAAGGTTTGGTGAAAGTGCGGTGTGTCACAAGACGACAAGTATATTGCAAAAATGTGACAGGAAATATGTGTTTGTATGAGAAAAGACAAATAGTAATAAAAGATCGCAAGAGAGTCACAGCTCCCACACAGACTTAAAGACATGCCTGGGCTTGTTCCTCCGGTTTGTGAATGATCAGCAGGATTTCTCCAACATCCAATAGCCTTTCAAACACTGTTCTCCCAGGCATCAGTCCTTGGTGCCTAAACTTTTTACACTGCTGTAGCTTTTCTTTGAAAAGAGATCTCCCGTAGTGTGCAGTTTTTAGTCATTTTTGTAGTCTTGCTGCTATTGGATTATGTTCACACTGTGGCATTTCAGTATATTGCATGTACTGCTCAGCCTCAAGGTGTGTAAAATAACTTCTTATAAACAAGGAAACTTTAAAACCCCTAATGTGCTGCAACTGTTCACTACATGTTAATGAGCCTACTAAAAATATTATTTGCATGGGTGTAAATACGCACAGGTTTGTGTATACTTAGTGCAGAGCCAGATTTAAACAAACTGTTGATGGTGTCACTTTTGGGAACAATGCTGCAGCAGAAGAGGAAGCACGGAGGGGGAGTTGTTTACCCTTATTAAACCACCATAATGATTAGGGCAAATTCACCTACAGTAACGTAGTTAAATCATTTATTAGCTTAATATACCACATTTCCCTGCACTGACCGTGTTAGTGGCCCACACCTTTTCAGTATTTCCTGCTTATTCATTCTGTTTTATCTCCTACACAAGATGATTTTTGCACATAGTTGTCATCACAACCATGTTTTTCCTGTAATCTGAAATGAGGGTGGACTTTGTGTGCTTTACAGATTGTGTACAGACTATGTTGAGGTGCTTTCCCAATTTGACAGACTTTGTTTTTATTGTCTTGCCTCCAGCTTGCCCTGAACATATATCTAAAGGTGCAGAATAGTAAGAAAACAAAGCCTGATTTCAGTTTTACCTCCACATTTTATCCATTGAAGACAAACATATTTATCTTCATTTGTGTTAAAGCCTCGTTACATCTTTACTTAATATGCCAAACCCACTCTATACTAATGCCTCATTCTGTTCAGTTTTATTCATGCTTTTCCCGGTTCTTCTTCACTGCAGTGTTGGATTGCCCAGGATGTCTTCAAAGGCTCACGGTTCCAATAATATCGCTAATGCCCGGCGGATGGTGCAGCAGCTGAGAGTAGAGGCGAGCATTGAGAGGATAAAGGTACAGTGCAGCCACCACCTACAGTGGGTACGAAAAGTATTCAGACCCCCTTAAATTTTTCACTCTCTGTTATATTGCAGCCATATGCTAAAATCATTTAAGTTCATTTTTTTCCTCATTAATGTACACACAGCACCCCATATTGACAGAAAAACACAGAATTTTTGACATTTTTGCAGATTTATTAAAAAAGAAAAACTGAAATATCACATGGTCATAAGTATTCAGACCCTTTGCTGTGACACTCATATATTTAACTTAGGCTCTGTCCATTTCATCTGATCATCCCTGAGATGGTTCTACACCTTCATTTGAGT